TAGACATCGTCTTCCTCGACGGGCAATGTTGGCTGATATAGGGTCAGGGTGGAAAAGAGCTAGGGGCAGTCAAACCAAAACATGACTTCATCAGTCAATGAAATCCACAACAGTTAGTTTAAGCCAGCCAGGTAGGAGGATGTAGACTTCCTGTCTGGTTGGGATCCTCGGGATGGTAAAAACCAATGAAGGTTGGAAACAATTGGTGATATGGCTCAAAATCGTTCTCAATGGTTAGCGCAGATTCATCCACTCCTTGTGACTTATGATTTCCATTGAAACTGTTTTGTTCTTCGTTATTACTATTCCTTTGTCTCACACCACCTCTGTTTACTGCCTCTACTATGCATTTCTTCTACTTTCCTGTTTTAGTTTGTGTGCTCCGTGGAGGGAGTGTGGCGACTTGAACTGGTGCACATCGGTGCAGAGTTCTATGTCGAAAACAGGCAGACAGACATTACAACTATATACTATCAAGTATTTGAAAAGTGTGCCTATGTATTAGAAGACATTAAGTTCAAAGTAATCTTATCGATTCGGTTGTTATGCGTTACACAAGTTATTTAGACAACAATAAAGGCTACTTGTTCGTGATAATTTATTATCACTAACTAATGGGTTAACTAGTGTCAACTGGCATATATTTGTCCTGAATTTATCGTATTTATTTGTAAAATAAACAACAAACCCCAATGTTAACCAAGTAACTATGCGAGTGTGTATGTTTGTATCCTTAAATTTGTGTTTACAAGTGTTTATGGTGAAATAGAATAGTGAAACATTTTTGTTTTTCATGTTATTGTCCCAATAAATAAGAGTTATGGTGTTATATATGTCCAAACCAAGTTCACCTCTTAACGGTTTGAAAAAATTTGGGCATTGGGTATATGATATGCATTATAATAAGGGTTTTTTTGTATTTCCCAATATAATGAAAAACAGAACGATGTTGTTTTTGATGTGGTGGTGTTCTCTGAGCAGCTGGATATTTGCGAAGCTTTCATCGCCCGGCCTACTAGGCGACATCTTCCTTCAGCTCATACACTTCAATTTGAATTGATGTGAGCTTTTAGATTTCTCCACGAGTTTATTAATCATCTCTACTGGTGACCTGGGATGTGACCCTTTGGTTGTTTTTGTGTGTTTTCACACCTTCTAGGAGGCTATTTGTATTGGAAGTGATTGTTTCTCTGACTTGAACTTCGATCCTTTGTATGTGTGTGTGAGGTTTCTTTCTTATCGGTTGATAAATTTTGTCTATGTTGATGTGTCTATTGATTGATGATTCACTGGAATGCCAAGTAGGCATCTGAAAATTCTCTAGCATTCTTGTTGTTTCCTCTGTCTAATATTTGGACGTTGGTTGTCCCAATTGAATTGATGTCCGTGGTTGTCTGTATATACTGACATAAAGAAGTGGATGTCATGTCTTTTGACGGCTAGCTTATGCTCATGGATACGAAGATGAAGGGGACGTTGACTCTGGCCAATGTAGTTTTTTTCTCAGTTGTTACAATTTATATTTTGTAGATGATGTTGGTTTTATCTTCGTTCGCTGTTGAGTCTTTTGGTTGACATAGAGTCAACTGAGTGAAGTGATTTTGTTGGTTTGTGTTCGACGTCAATTCCTAAAGGTTTGAAGAGTTTTGTAGTGGTCCTTGAGATGTTATCTTTTATATATGGTAAGGGGATTTTCTTTGTGCATTCCATGGGGGTTTTGTTTTGATAGGTTTTCTTGGGGTTGTATGTTTTTTGATGGAACTCCGTGGATATTGTTTTTAGTAATATGTCTTTACTGGTGACAATATCGTTTTGTTTTTCATTCATTGGGAAATACAAAAACCTTTATTATAAAGAGTTATGGTGTATTAGATGAATACTGAGTGATGTTGTGCTATGCGCATCTAATTTGAACCAAAAAGGCGTTATAATTTTGAAGTATTGATTTTCTTGTTAGTAGTGATTGTGTTTGATTGAATGGAGGGTGGGTTCATTATGAGCTGACTTCAGTTAGTAGGGAACCATTGGAAAACCAATCAGGGAGTATTGGACAACTGTTTCGTCAGCCTAGTTTTGGATTCTTCATCAGTGTTATTATTATCATCATTATTATTATTCATTCTTTGGGTGGAACATAAGGCTTCAGCGGTACATCTTCATCTCATTCGACTAGATTCACAACTGCTCACAAGCTTTCGTTACCTTTTCATATGACCTTCACAGTGTGATTCTTGGACGGGGGACTACTTGCTGCCTATTCGGTTTTCACTATAGGGTCTGGCTTGTGATATCACTTGATTGTTTCCTCGGTGTATAGGCTAATCTTTTCCCGTATCCTTTTGCATATTTGTTGGGTAGAAGGCGGTTAGCCTGTCAGAGTTCCGTGTTGATTTCCGCCCTTGCGGTCTTCAGCATTGCGACAGTGAAGCAGACTGATTTTAGAGGGGGGGTTCTTTAGGAACCTGTTAAAAGTAGCCCTAATAATGCACTTGCTATTATTATTATTTCCTTTAATTCCTAGAGGAACATAGGGCTTCAACCGCTCACGTCTCCATTGCGTTCGGTTCTCTGCTAAAGTTTTCACCAGGCTCCAAGTCTGCCATCCACATGCTTTCATCTCCTCTTCACATGACCTCCTCCAAGTTACCCTCGCACTGACGACTGACTCGCCGCTTCCCTTACTGGTTCCACTCGAGCAATGGCTTATCTAGTGATGTCACTTAATGGTTTGTTCTCTCAGAGTATGGCCAATCCACCTCCATTTCTTCCTGCATATTTGTTGCACAATCGGTTCTTGCTGGGTTGGTTCACTCCCATGCACGTGCTAAGTGTCTCTGAACTATACAGGAACACTGACTTGACATCAGTGTTAAAAGATTTAAGTGTTGTAGGGGTCTGATACTTACAGATATTTTCATGGCAAGTTTTTTGAAGATGGTCCGTTGAAATTGACCATTCATTGGGCAGACTTTTTCTGTAAAAAAGGTACGCTAATGATACTTTTATCGCTTGCGATAACGAATGTGACTTAAATAATATCCTTCAAGTTTTTAACAGCTTGCTAAACAACCATGAAATTTACAATTGAAGTAGAAACCGGATAGGTGACCCACTTTCTGAAGGTTCGACTAACAAAGAAGACCGATGGAGCTTTGAACAGATCAATATTATATAGAAAGCCCATATGCGATGGCCAGTTGACAAACTTTTACAGTTAGACATCCATTGATCGTAAGCGGAACCTGATAATATTGCTTGCCACTGGGATCCGAAGAATCTGCAATCCTGAATGATTAGATGAACAGATCATTGAGAATGGCTACCCCTTCTGAACGCCTTATAGTTCACAACCATTGTTGTTATTAGATGGTTGAAGGTAATCGACAGGAAGCCTTCGGTTTAGGTTTTGTGCATGTTGACACTTGCTCGCCATTCAGCAGGTGGTGTATCAGCAGTCTTGAAGGCATCCATTTCCCCTCTACAGGAAGTCAACCATGAGGCCGGTTATCTCAATCGTAACATCTCTAATTGGAGATAGCACTGGGTGACACGGGTTCGAATCTCAGGAGGGAAATGAGTTATTCCTTCAAGGTTACAGATACGTCCTGATGACGAGTGCGAACCAGCACCACCAAACCCAGATCCAAGGATCACTCTTAGCGATTGCCTCCAACCTCATCTAATGTGAACACTTCACAACACACAGTGATGACGAGTCACTTCGAGTGGTATGGTGTGGTCACAATGGTAACTTGACTGGTAGGATTCCGTCCGCACCAATCGAATGACTAGGCGTGTGATACTGTAACAACAGAAGACAAGGGCCAGGCAACAGATCGTTTATTTTGGAAATCAACACATATTTATATATATTTTCATGCACATTATTATAGATTATTGTTAGGGGAAAAACACAGTCCTCTGATTGGTTGTTTCTCAGAGATAGCTAACTTTGCATCTCTTCGTGACTATTTCTTGAATGAAGAGAACACGAAGTTCAGCAAAGACATCTGCCTTTTAGGTGATTTCATTCTCAAAAGCAGCCGTACAATCGCATTTATATAGATTATTTTACATGGATGCAATTATTATTTGTTTAATTCCACATAGTAACGAAGGTGATAATAATTTTCAACTTGATATGATAGTTTGAAGGTACGAATATAGATTACAAGAGGCTTAGAGACAAGATTTCATAGGATTAGAAAATAGTTACAACGTATGCAAAAAATTAATATTTGATAACTGGAGAAATAATTTTAAAGGCGAATCGAAGGTGATAATTATTTTCGACTTGATATGAATTACAAGAGGTTTAGAAACGCAGGGATAGGACGAACTACAGGTGTGAACGAAATGAGCATGGAAACAAATTGAAATCAAAATGTTTAACTTGAAATGTAAGTTAGGAGGTGTGAATATAGATTACAAGAGGCATAGAAACAAAAATTACACAGGATTAGAATATAATTGTAGAATGGTTATTCTAAACGGATTACAAGTGTGATCAGGAGGAGTATGGAAACAAAATTAAAATAACTAGTTTTTTTAACTGAAAAAATAATTTGAGCCTGAAATGAAAGTTAGGACGTGTGAATATAGATTACAAAAGCCTTAGAAACACAAAAATTGCACAGGATTAAGATATAATTGTAAAATAGTTATTTCAAACGAATTATAAATTTGAACAGGGAAAAGCATGGAAACAAACTTAAAATAACTGTTTCTTAAATGTCAGGTCATCTATATATGTTAACTGTATCCGCCTACGCAAAGCCTTTGTTCTCATTTTTCTCACGACGAATATTGGGGACATAACGATTGACGTAAATTACTGTCCACCAACATTTTGACTAACAGCCAGCTCTCACCACAATACTAGTTAGTGTCTGGTCAAAGAATACTATTTTTAGTTGAATCGCTTACTATTATTATTATTATTATTATTATTTCAAGAAGGAATTTATATTCTATGATAAGTATTTATTTCTTCCTTTCAGGGAAAGTATATTGTCTGTTTTGATCCGTTAGATGGTTCCTCAAATATTGACTGTTTAGGCTCAATTGGTTCAATATTCCTCATTCTGCGTTCACCATCACAAGGTGAAAAGGGTGGAACATCACCTGATATAGCCTTACAGTCAGGCCGTCAAACCGTTGCTGCTGGTTACGCCTTATACGGTAGTGCTACAATGCTAGTACTGAGTGTTGGAACTGGTGTCAACGGCTTTACACTGGATCCAGTGAGTTGAAGTTTACTGTAATTATTACTATTATTGTTTCATAAACATGGTTCCTTTGATGAATTCCGATAACCAGGTGTTAGTTTTGGAGGGTTTGATTGGTTGCATGTTTGCCCACAGGTTGACCAACAGGGAGAACTGGTTAGTTGTTTCGTCCTGGTTTGAGACTCTTCGTTGTGGTACTCACCCACTCTTGGGTTCGAACTTTGGACTCTCCGGTGACAAGGAGAGCTTGTAGACCATTCAACCACTGGGACCCGATCCAATGGTCAGCCAGCCGATGAATTCCAACTTCTGCCGATTCCCGATACATATACAGCTTGACATTCCAAACATTTCGTTTTATAAGGCCTGTTAGATTGTGTGAATCCTTAGGAGTTTTGGTCTTCTACATGGACAAGGTCGCTTTGTAGTGTGTATATGTCTGATGTTTCGAAGAGAACTCCCTCCAATGTTGTGGTTATTGAGTACTCTTCTAATATCGTTTGACGTTTGGCGAAATGTCAACTGTTGAGGTCCATTTCTTCGGAATAAGTGTTTTTGATCATATTTAGTGTCGATGTTGATTTTGTTAAGGAAGTTCTTTGAGTGATTACTAATTTTTCCTGGGAGTTTCAGTAATTGTTGGTATTCGATGGTTGGAGGTAATCGGCCAAAGGAAGCCTTCCAACTAGGTTTCGTGTTAGTTGTCACTCCTCAGTCAGTAAGGTGTATCTGCAGTCTTGAAGGAACTCATGTCCCTTCTGAGGAGATTCGAACTCGCGTCACCCAGTGTCACCTTCAGTCAGAGACGTTACCACTGAGCTATTCGAGCTCGCGACTGACCTCCTGTGGCACTGTATTGGATGGTGGTGTCCATATTGCAAGCATGACTGATTGAATTCAGTCTGCACCAAAGATAGGACTAGACGCATTACACTAGTTACTGACTAGTGTGCAACCAAAAAAGTTTCAGTGATGTTTGATATTTCTTCTTCTTTTTCCTCCTCATCCGTTATCCAACCCTTACTCACACAATTTTTTAACTCCCATATTCTGCCTATTATTCTCTATTGTTCACCCTTAGTTTTTCCAGGGCCGGCTACTGAAGAAAGACTATACCTTATTACGCAGGATGTTAAAGGTTGTCAGCAGGGTAAGCAACGTGCCACTTTGCCAGCTTGTTAATATTCTGGTGGACAGACACATGGACTCATGTGAAAAATGGGCGAAATCCATTTTATCTGACTCACAACACCCTCTACATTCACAACTCTCCCCTTGTATCTCTTCAGGCAGGCAAAACCAGAAGCCTGTATAGAAAACTATATGCCCGCACTAGTAAGTACAAAAACTCAACCATACCCATCCTACTTAGCTCGTGTTCTGTGCGATAAAGAAAGCATTAGGCATGAAACTTATAACTTATTAAATAGTCAGTAGAACAACTGGATCTCATCTTTCCAACTCATATCATTTATAGGTACAACGTTTTTCTTTCTTACTTTTCCTTTTTTTTTCTCTCTCTCTCTTTTCTGTTATGTGCAGCTTTGTTTCTCTCTTCCTTACAAATTCTATTTAAAACATTTTTCTTCGTTCTCTCACACTCTGTATATCTCGACCTCTTTGTTACCGCTTACACCAGTAAATATGCTAGCAGTATCTACTTTTCTAACACCTTCAAACACTCTGTTTAATTTTGGCTTTCCTACCGATATGCTAATATGTTGTTGTCGAAACTGACTGAGATAAGTTTAATCTACGTAGAACTTTATTTATTGTTAATGTACTAACTGGATGCAATATTGTAGTAAAATGCTGAGAATTCCATTCTGTATCACAAGTACTGTTCTGGAATAAGGCTATTATCTTATCTTATCGAAGAGTGTGGTCGTCTAAGACTTGAAAGAAGTGGTAGATTTACGTTGATGGAATGTAATGATCCGAGGTTTAAATATTTGTTGTTGGAGTGTGTTTTCTTCCTGAATATCGGATATATTAAAATATCCGTTTTCTGACTTCTTAACTAGTTAGGTAGTCTAGAAATAGTAGCGCTCCTCGAAGTCTGATTCTACTTAAAAATTACTTCATTCTAATGAACACGGCCGATGACTGCTACCTTGCCGTGGTGGTCGGGCTTGAATACTGTAATGAACCAACATGCTAAACTGACTGGGACTCTGTTCCTGCAGGTCCTACCATGTCAGGAAGGTTGTTTGGATAGCGGTTAAACTAAAAGCAGTTACCATGGAGTACATGGGCTCCAGTATCCAATCGGATCAAATGGCGTATGAACCCATATGGGTCACTGTCAACCATTGGAATGCAGCTCCTGACGCTTCTCCGCTGCCTTTCGGATTAGACTCCAAGTCACAAGCTCGGAGGGTGGTCCTTTAATCAAACCACCTGCTTCGGTCTGGGCGCCCGGGCAGTATCTCAGCCCTCGCACAATGAATTGAATAAAGCAACAAACAATCAATGAAACTTATCGCGTGCTATTGCACGTGTTGCAGTTTCCTTCTTTCTTCCATTTCCGATAATAGTTAACGAATACTGTTTGAACTTGTTAAGCATGACTGTTTTCCTTCCAGATGAAGTTCTTTATCCGTTCTCTACTTATATATATATATATATATATATCTTCTTTCTTTTTTTTGATTTATGTTGTTTTATTATTATTGTGTGGCGCATCCTACTTGGTGGCATATTGTACCAAGTTTTTATGCGTTTAAATAAATAAATAAATAAATAAGTAAATAAATAAATAAATAAACATTCTGATGAACTATGGTTAAGTCGTTATATATAAACTCATCAAAGTTCAACAATAGCGTCCCAGGAGTGCGAAGGCATGAGTGACCTTCAGCTGACCAATTATAAAAATGAGGAATGTTTGCTCAAAAAATGATGTGTATATTGACAAGAAAATGTTTGAAAACGCATTAAATTGGTTATCTTTCTCTGACATCGCTTAAAAAAATACATCCTAGTTATATCGAGGAGTATCAGTTGCTAAGTTAGACTAGATTCTGTACATGTATTCAACAAGATGACTACAGATTAAACTGTTTTGTGAACCATTTATCTCTCTCATCCTGCTTGTAGTCTTCCGAAATAGCCCTTGGTTGAATTATTATGGTTTCCAGCAAGAAGATAGACGACTGCTAAGCAGGAAAACGCAGATAATAAAACAAGTTAAAATAAATGACATCAGCCATAAATCTATCCCTAATCGTAATCATTAGCTTAATCCTGACCCTAACACCAACCCTAACCTTAATCCTTAGCCTAATCATAACCCTTATCCGAATCATAATTCAAACCCTTAGGCAAATGATAACCCTGATCCTAACCCTAACGAGCTATTAACACGTTGTCCAAATAGTACTTAAAAATCGTGATCTGGGTGAAATTCACACCTAAGTTGGTGAATAGCGTTGATATTTCAGCTGTGTTAATGATTGATGCCATTAGCCAACGATTAGCATGCGTTCAAGGTCACTAGAGCGTTCATACTCCTGAGACGCTATTGTTGAACTTCTTCATAAACTCTGAGGCTCTGTAAATTCTGGTTTAATATTAGTACTTTGATAAAGCTATTAGCAGCAGCATTAAATAGCGAAATGTCAGTATAAGAGCGTAGTTATATTCACTGGATGATAAGAGTTTCAGTACAATTCATTCCTCTCGCTTCTTCTTTCCAACTCGTTTGGTCATGAGTTCGAGTTCTTCATCTACACCTGTGCTCAACAAGTAATAATAATAATAATCTGATTTATTCCAAAAACAGCACTTATAAATGCAGAGTGAAATTCTAATCATTTGTCTCACAATATTCCATCTAATTTACTCGAAGTATAAATAAAATTAACCACAGGAAATCGTCCATATTTACAGTAGGAATAAAGTCAAAAAATGCGTTAAGTTGTTATAACTGAACTGAACTGAACTGAATAAACCCTGTCGCTACTTTGTTGCGTCTGTGAGCCTGTTCATTACTATAACGGTAACCAACTCGACCCGTACGCTAATACGCCAAATTTGTCCGTTGTGTCTTCCGATTCACTGAGCCACACAAATGTCAAAAGACAAAGGCTGGCTGGTCTGTGACTGTCAGATATTGATTGTATTATGTTCATCTATTAGGAAACAAAACATCAAAAAGACCAAAGTGAGACAGAAGACGATGAATTGATCTCACACACTAAATCACGGCATGCGTGGTAAATGATAGATCGACATAGTAACTCCGTCAGAAGATGGATCACATGATTCGTGAGGGAGGATGATATACCATGCTGTTTTATGCTGGGTCCCATCAAAAGTACAAAATGAGAATAATAACTCTAATAATAATAATAATAATAATAATAATAATAAGGATGGAGGAAACGGTTAGATTAATAGTGGAAAGAGGGTTAGTTAGTTAGTTCGTCCTTGACACTATTTTCCTCACGTAAATTACTGCCGCCGAATATGGTATCGTGGAAGTTTTATACTTAGACGTGCGCTCATAAAGTTTTTTGAGATAACTTTTTGTTTTTTACCTGAGGAGACACAAGGTGAAAGCTGCAGGTGCTGCGGTGGATGTTCACAGTCTGACAAAATCCCTTTAGGAAATTTGTTGCATGAAATCAAGTGCCTATCAATAGTGACGATGTCAATGACATGGCTCAATGGGATACCACCACTTGCCCTACCGAAAGTCAGTCTTTAGAGTTCTGTGAAGTATGACAATCTTTTTTAATCTTCTATAGTTTGGTTTGTAAGGGTTGGTTATGTTTTTTTTTTACGAGTTGATCATGGATTGATGTCAGTTAGAGAACCATTTGAAAACCAGCCACAGGGAGTACTGCACTGGACAGCTGTTTCATCCCACTAGTTTGGGAATCATCGGGAGTACGCACCTACCACCAGGGTTCGAACCCAGGAGCTTCTGATTAAAAAGCAAGCTCCCTCATATCACTGCACACAGACAACAACGGACATCGATTCGACTGGGACAACCAACGTTCAAATAT